CACACGCACATGCACATTTTTAACACGTTCAAATTCAAGTGATTCTGACATCAAATGGAGTCCGAAACCGTTTATATAAATTGATTTTAATGTTACATAGTTCATCACCTCGGGGGGGCGCCTGGGTGTCTCAGTCCTTAAGCATCTGCCTTTGGCTCAGGTCATGATCCCAGGGTCCTGGGATCCAGCCCTGCATCGGGCTCCCTGCTCAGCGGGGAGCCTGCTTCTCCCTCCCCCACTCCCCCGCTTGTGTTCCCTCTCTCGCTCTCTGTCAAAATAAATAAAATCTTTAAAATATATATATATAGTTCATCATCTAGGGATATAATATTTGGAGAAGAAAACAATAATCAACAAGTTAACAGTTTGACTAATAAATCGAGAGTTATCTAATCTCCAGTCATACAGCATTATAGAGGAAAACAGTGTTCTAATTGGCCATTCTTCCAAATGACATTTACTAAAGGCCACTCTGAAGGTAATTTTTTATTTCATAAATATTTGCTTACAAAATACACATGAAGTATCTCACAAATGAGTAAATCAAAGTTCAGAAAGGCAGAGTCTTGCCCAAAGGCCTCACAATTAGTAAGAGCCAAAATTCACAAATCAAGACAACACCAATTCCAATCTGCTTTCCACAACACAAAAATGCCACAAAGGTCATGACTACAAAGCTCACCATCTGTCACATGTCATGTGCAAAAATGATTACAGTTGACCCTTTAACAACACAGATTTTTCTTAATAAACACAGCATAGTACTATAAATGTATTTTCTCTTATGACTTTCTTAACACTCTTTTCTCTAGCTTACCTTATTATAACACAGCATATAATACATATAACATACGAAATATGTGTTAATTGACAGTTTGTGTAACCAGTAAGGCTGAGGGTCAACGGTAGGCTGTTAGTAGCCAAGTTTTGGGTGGGGGGAGTCAAAAGTTATACGTGGATTTTCAATTGAGTGGGGGTTGGTGCCCCTAACCCCCATGTTGTTCAAGGGTCAACTGTACAGCAAGAGAAAATGGGGTGAGTGTCTTAAGAGAAACAGAAGGGACAGTGAAAAGGAAAAAATTACTTCTTCATTTTCACTAAATGATTTATAATTGCAGAAACTATAAATTCTACCTTTCAAAGTACCCACAAAAGCTACTAACAGCAAAAGTGTTTTACTCCTATACAAAAAGCCCTGAGACTCTACTAATTTAACATATTCATAGACTTTGGGTCTTTAATTTAAAAAAACAAACAGGGGGGGCGCCTGGGTGGCTCAGTCATTGGGTGTCTGCCTTCGGCTCAGGTCATGATACCGGGGTCCTGGAATGGAGCCCCAAATAGGGCTCCTTGCTCAGCAGGAAGACTGCTTTTCCCTCTCCCTCAGCCGCACCCCCACCTTGGCCCCCCAGGGCTTGTGCTCTTTCATGCACATGCTCGAACTCTCTAAGTCTTTGAAAATAAAAAATAAAAATAAAACAAACAAAAACTACCTGTGCAATGGCTACAAAAGCCCTTATAAATCCCAGCTCTTTATCTGCCTAAGGTCACAAAACAAATCATCTGGGGCTGACCTCAGGTGTCCTCATCAGTAAAATGAGAACACAGCGTTTGGGATAAAGAACCTATTCGCTTCATAGTCACTATCCTTGATAGTTATTATTGGAAGAATATACAAATAATAATCTATAACTGTCAGAGCTCTTATTTTTACATGCAATGTTGGATTTTGCTTGAAGTGTATACTTCCAACTGTCTGCCTCAATAATGTAGAACTAGTAATGTTTCTGAAAACGTTGACAAATCAGGGCACGTGGGTGGCTCAGTCGGTCAAGCCTCTGCCTTCGGCTCAGGTCGTGATCCTGGTCCTGGGATCAATCCCTATGTTCAGCTCCTTGCTCAGAAGTCGGCTTCTCCCTCTGTCCCTCCCCATCGCCTCGGGTGCACATCCTCTCTCTCTCTCTCAGATGTATAAATAAAATCTTTAAAAAATAAAATAAAATAGGGGTGCCTGGGTGGCTCAGTTGGTTAAGTGGCTGCCTTCGGCTCAGGCCATGATCCCAGAGTCCTGGGATCGAGCCCGGCATGGGGCTCCCTGCTCAGCGGGGAGTCTGCTTCTCCCTCTCCCACTCCCTCTGCTTGTGTCCCTCTCTCGCTGTCTCTGTCAAATAAATAAAATCTTTAAAAAATAAAATAAATGAAAATGCTGACAAATCGTCTTTGCTGATTGCCCCTAGACTAGAATCAATCCTGACTATAAACTCAGGGTCACTCTGTACTTACCTTTTCACAACAATTCTAATGCTTGTAAATTGTTCCTTGCCCCCAAGCTAGATTTTAAGTTCCTTGAAGGCAGAAGCTGTGTCTCGTACATTTCTAATCATTCAATATCTGAGTGGTTACTATGTGTCTGGCACTGATTTAGGTCCTGACAACACAGTAGTGAGCAAAATAAAGTCTCTGCCCTCCTCAGAGCTAATACTCCAATGAAATAGGAGATACTAACATATATCAATCAGTGATAAGGGATATTAAAAAAAAGAGGGACAGAGGGCTAGAAAATACTGTAGGAGCTATGTTACATAGGGTTATCAGGGAGAGCTTCACATATAACTGAAATCTAAGTGGAGCAAGTCACAGATATCTGGAGGGGAGGAGTCATGGGGGGTCGGGGGGAAGCAAGTGTGAAAGCCCCAAGGCAGGAACATTAGTTATTATGTGGGAAAAATTCTAAGAAGGCAAAGGGGTGGGGCATAATAGACACACATGGGGGGGCAGGCTCTGAGAGCAGAAGAGTGCCATGATCTATGTTTTAAAGAATCACCAGACTTCCGTAACAAGAATAGAGATTAAAGAATAAAAGCAGTGAACCTCATTAAAATCCTGCAATAATCCAGAGGAGCCATAATGATAGCTTGAACCAATTGAGTGATGATGATGATGATTAACTGGATTTTAGTTAGGTTTTGAAAAGAGAACCCACAAGATTTGATGAACTGGATGTGAAAAGGGAGAAACATGAATCAGGGAGATATTTTAAAAGATTAGGAAGAGCAGACTGGCCGTTAACTGAGACAAGAAAGTCAGTGAAGCAATTTTCCCAGAATCTAGCAAACTGCTCAGTACATAGTAGACACTCAAATGTTTGTGAATTAAACTTAACTGAATAAATTCCCAAAATGAAACAGTAAACTCAATGTATTGCTTTCTATTTGCTCTAATTTCCTTTAGTAATGTTTGCTAATTACACAAAGACTTAGCCACTAACACAGTTCAAGTGCTTACAAGGAAACATTACACAGCGACACAGCAACTAATCCTTACATCTCAAGTACCAGTTTCAGTCTTACATTTACAATTCTCCTGGATATGAGAAATCTGCTATGAAAGCTCTGTGACAGCCTGAGGATTCTTACACCCGAAGTAATTAACTTGTTCCTTAAGGATGTCATATTCCTGGAAGGTAGAGCAGTGCAAACAGAACCCCCTAAGCCAGAATTAATTGAAAATTATAACACTTCATGATACATTTTCAGAATGGGACAAGACTTAACAAGTCCCCTAAAAAAATAAGTCATCAGTCACCAACATTTTTTTTATTTTTTTTTTTTACCTCCAGCAGTAAGTCCCTTCAAAACAAGTTTAATGAAAAACTAAACTCTGCTTGAGAATGTGAAATTTCGCACATCTTCCCCCAAGCTGGCACTTTTCCTGCCAGTCAGTGAAAAGGAGCTTCACTTAGGAAAGAACTGGGTATCCTCACTTTAGCACTTCTTTAGGTGTACTCCCAGACTTTCTAATCCAGCACCCTTACTATATAGCTCCATGAAGAGCCACAAAGTTAACAGAAATATATTAAAAGGAATTCTCCTAAAATAAAAAGTTTTCATCCTTTCCTGCCTTCCGGTTACTTTAAAAACTTAATTGAACCTTAAAAAAAAAAAACCCTGAAGTTTAAGTATCATCTCTCTTCCGCATTAGTTTCCCTAATGCCCCACCCTAACCTAATGTGTTAAAAAAAAAAGGGGGGGGCGTACAACTTCCAGTGAAAATACAGCGTAAAAACCTAGATCCTTCGGAGAAGCTGATCGTACTGAATTCAGCAACAGGCAGTACTTCCTTTTTCCTATCAGTAAACGGCCTTGAACCAATCCAAACAAATCTGAAATGCCAGCCAGATTCCCCGTATCTCCCCCGCTCCCTCCCCCCAAAGCTGGCCTGGAAACACAGCAGCCACTGACCACAGAGCTGAACAGAAAATAATCAGTGGTAAGCAAAAACAATGATCTTTTAGAGGCAGGAAGGTGAGTAGCCAGGTTTTCAACCACCACCTATTCTCGAGGAAGGGCCCGGCCGCCCCACAATCATATTCCCAACAGAGCCGCACGCATTCTTCCCCCGCTCCGAGGCCCCCCGCACGCGGACCAGAGGCGAGGTGGAGAGAGGAGAGCGAACCGCCTCGGGTGAAGGGAGTGCCCAAGGGGTGCCCGGGACCGGGGAGCGGAGCGCAAATAAGCACGCGTGCCAAGGATGAATGCGGCGTCCCTTAGGAGCAGAGTGCTCAGCGCCTGCCACAAAACGTGGAGGGCAGGGAGCTCTAATTGGGCTTTCCTCCTGGGTGGACAGGCTGGAGGGACTACAGGTTCAGGACTCCCTAAGACCGGGCCCAGGAGGCTACTATTTCCCCGTAAAAGGGTGGGGCACACGGGGGCGCCAGGTGGGGGCTGCTGCTGCTGCTTCGTCCCTCCTGTCATCACCGCCATAAGGGACACCCTAAAGAGGAGAGAGTGGGGACTCGGTGGGGGAGGGGATCACTACAGTCAGTGAGGCAGTGGGCCCCGAGGGGGCGGCGGGCGCGCGCCGGGGAGAGGAGAGGGCGCGACCCCGGCCCGGAGCCCGGGAGGCGCGAGCACCCGCGGGACTCTGGAACGCGAGCGCTTCCCGGCCAGCGACAAGGGGAAGCGGGAAGGGGCCACCCTCCTCCCCGCCCCCACACTCACCATGTACAGGGTGAAGGGCAGGCCGAGCAGAAAGAGCCACAGGTAGAGGTGCAGAGCGTTCACGAAGGTGGCCTGGTGCGGGTCGTAGTACCAGCCCCCGCTGAGCGCGGCCCACACCCCCTGCCGGAGGATCTGCAGCGTCTGCGACCCCATCCCCACCCGGCGCCGCCGCCGCCGCCGCCGCCGTCGCCGCCGTCCCCGCCCCGGCCCCAGCTCGGCCTCGGTCGGTCGCTGGAGCCCGCAGCTGCCCCGTCTATCCCCCTCCGGAGCTCCGGGAGAGCGGGCCGGCGCTCCGGCGGTCGCTAGGGCTGCTGCAGGAGGAGGAGGAGGCAGCTAACGAGGAGGAGGAGACCGAGGAGGCGGCGAGCGGCGGGGCGGAGGAGAGCGGAGGAGAGGAGGAGACCAGCCTCCACAGCGCCGCCGCCATCTTGTCTCCTAACACCCGGAGCCGGAGCCAGGCCCCCGCGCCCGCGGCCCGCCAGCGCCGCCGCCACCGCCGCGACCCCCGCCGGCCACCAGCCTTGGGCCTGGCGGAGAGGGAGGCCCGGCGCCCGGGAGGGACGGGGAGCAAGCCGCGCCCCCTCCAGCCCCTCCTCTCCGCCCCCCCAGGCCAGCTCCCCGCGGGTGCACGCAGCGCCTCGGCTACTGCGGGCGCCTCCTGCCGGCGCCGGGGAGAAGCGTGCGCGGACGCGGACGGGGCCCCGGGGGGCGGGGCTCTGGGACACCCCTTTCTGCGCCGGGTAAACCACCCTGCCAGGTGCATTGACCGGCCCCAACGCGAGCCTTCGCTGTCCCAAACCCTGTCTTTAGAACCTTGTCAGCATCCTGGCTGACGTTTTATGATGCTTGTGGAACACCTGGGAACAGTGAGGCTAATATCTGCGATGCTTATTAAAGGCCCGGGAGAATTCGGTACAGCTGGTGACTAATGAAAAGTCACAAATGCGCCCAGTCTGAGCAAGAACTGTATTGGCCCTTGGAGCGAGCTGGAGGCCCTCGGGTGAGAAAAATACCCACACCAGGATTGGAAGGATTTACTACTTACAAAGACAGATAAATTAATAGAAATTTCAAGGGATGTAACAAGATGGGGTAGACAGATTTATCACTTTACACGGTGATTTTATATTTTAACGTGCTGTAACGTAGCCATTTTTATAAATGGACCAATCTAAACAGCGTTGAAAGATTAACTGTGACTCCACCCCAAGTCACGATGGGATCTCCCATTTCTCTTTTTTACTGCTGTAAAGACGGAATCATTCCTGGCTCTTTGTAATGTTTATAAGGCATGTCTAATTTCATTGAATGAACTTTTTTTCCTAAGTTTGAGTTTATTATAGCAATAAAAGTATTCTATATTCCTGGATTAAAGCTGCTATAATTAATTAAAAAGCAAAAAATCCAGAAGAAACTGGTGCTGTTTTAAGAACAGTATTGAAAAACCATTGCAATACCTCCTGGTTGCCATCCTACTCTGGAGTCAAACATTTTCATGCCATTTCATTCGACCTGCCCAACACTCAGGTAGGGGCAGCGTAGAGGCTATTCTTATTTTATGGATGTGGAAACGGAAGTGCAAAGAGTAAATGATTGCCCATGTTCTCCTAAGTAATAGTGGTCGAGAAGACCTCTGAAACCAGCAATCATTCTAACTGAACTGACTGGAATTAGTTTATTTCTCAGCACCCTCCACCTTATCCATTCAGACAAGAATTTGAACTGATCCACACTGCTCAGCAGCTTTTGGTTACCTGTGGCCAGTTTAAACGTTATGACCAGTTCTCAAAGTGTAATCCCAGGAGCAATTGTGTCAACATCCTGAGAACGTTGTTAGAAATGCAAATTCTCAGGTACCACTCCAGAGAAACTCTGGGTGTGGGACCTAGCAATCTGTTTTAACAAGCCCTTCAAAAGATTCCAATGTACCTTAAAGGTTGAAACTACCATTGTAGAACACTATCCCCCAACCTTGATTAGTTCATTTCCTTATAACCACAAAGCCATTAAGTTCCAAGTACCTTCAAATTGTGAGACACGAATGAGCACTGGCCAAAATATACTTTAAAATATATGAATATGTCTGAAAGCACGATCAAGTTTAAATAATACAATTTTACAATTAAAATAGTGGCCTTGAGGCTTGGTCTTAAACACAAGGTATTGTCAAGTGTTCATTTGTTTCTCCTAAAAGAGACAGGAAAGCTCTCTGAGCCGGTTTTGGAAGTGATCCCAATCTCTTCCAACACAAAGATGTAAACAAGGATAAAATTCCAATACCACATCAGTTTCCACACCAGCAAATATCTGCTTTAGTTTAATGTAAAAGGATTAACTGTAATAAGGGTGAGGTAGACTGGAAGAAGTGGAGACCAGACCTAGCTACATCATGGAATTGGAAGCAGACCCAGCTGGTGTGATGAGCAAGCAGCCAGAAGACAGTATCTGGAGGGTGTGGAATGGGCAGTCACCAGGAAGGCAGCCGGCAGGAGGCTGGTTCAACAGAGAGAATGCAAGTGTTTTAAGTCAGTGGGCAGCTGGAACACAACCTTGGGAAGTCCAAGAGCAGACAAAAATTGGGAAATCGTGGCAAGCATTAAGAAAATGTGCTGCTTATAGCAGAGCCCCAGCTTCAGTGCTTTTTTTCCAGGTCTGGATTCCTCTCCCTATAAGGAATTGATGAAAGAATTCAGGTCCTTGAGATAATGTACTGGGCAAGTTTGCAGGGCAAGAACTTGGGCTCAGGGCTACAAGACAAGTATCCAAAGGCCAGATTTGACAGAGGGAGACTTAGAAACAAAGAAGGAACTTAATGCCTAGAACTGAGACCAAATTTCACATTGATCACAGTTGCTTTGTGTTGAGGTCCCGGAGAGTTAATACAGAACTCAAATTCCCTTTCTAATATGGGCTGGGATAGATCCAGGAGCCTAGAGATGAGAGTCCAATGACACCAGCCACTGAGTAAAAGGGGATTAGCAAAATAAGCAGGCCCAGGGGCACCTGGGTGGCTCAGTTGGTCAGCTCAGGTCCCGCATCGGGCTCCCTGCTCGGCCGGGAGCCTGCTTCTCCCTCTCCCACTCCCCCCGCTTGTGTTCCCTCTCATGCTGTCTCTCTCTCTCTCTGTCAATTAAATAAATAAAATCTTTAAAAAAAAATAAAATAAGCAGGCCCAGAAGGTAGAAAAAGCAGTTACAGACTACATTTTTCAGCTCTGGACTGGTAAATGCATTTTAGAAAAATGCTCATTAGGGCGCCTGGGTGACTCAGATGGTTAAGCGTCTGCCTTTGGCTCAGGTCATGATCCCAGGGTCCTGGAATCGAGTCCCGCATCAGGCTCCCTGCTCAGCAGGGAGTCTGCTTCTCCCTCTCCCTCTGCCTCTCCCCCTGCTTGTGCTCTCTCTCTCTCGCAAATGAATAAATAAAATCTTTAAAAAAAAAAAGAAAAATGCTAATTAAGTTAGCAATTGAAAGAACTCAACAAAATGGATGACCTTTTTGAAAGACTGACTTGGTCTTTGGAGTGGGGGTGAAAGGGGAGAACCCTACAATGCTTTTTATCTGTATCTTTTGAAATGTTTATGAATGCTGCCACAATAAGATTTCTGTTTTATAGATAGGAAGCCAAGGCACAGAGAGGTTAAATGGTTTGCCCAAAGTAATATACCTTAAAATATAAGAGCAGTGCAAAAACTAAGGAATCTAATTTGCTAAGTGTTAGTCCTCTGAGCCCTGCATAAAAGCTATTAATAATGTTACACTTAGCATGTCGAAGTTAGCAGCAATGACATACTACCAAACCACCACCTGACATTTGCTCATGTTTCAGCTAATTCTATTAAAAGTATACTTCCCGACTACTTCGTGGACCCCTTGAGGACTGGGAATGCTCTGACAGCAGGTACTCCCCTCCTGCCAGAAAGGAACAAAGCTGAGTATGCAAAGCCTTCCTTTTTTTTTTTTTTTTAAGTTTTTTTTTATTTATTTGAGGGAGAGAGCACGAGCAGGAGGAGGGGCAAAGGGAGAGGGAGAAGCAGACTACCCACTAAGCAGGGAGCCTAACAGGACTGGGGAGAGGAGGGGGCTGTTTGATCCCAGGCCCCTGGGATCATGACCTGAGCCTAAGGCAGAATCTTAACCAATGGAGGCACCAAGGTGCCCCTATGCAAACCTTTCTAACAACCCCCACCCAAGCCCATCTTGGAGCAGAGGTGAACAAACTGCAGCTCTAGTCAATTTATGCAGCAACTATTATGTACTTTGGATATTACAGCCCACATGTCCTGCCAACAACCTAAATGTAGCAGGTACCCATGTTTTTTTTCCCCAACCCAAACCAGCCCTTCTTATTTATTTCTCTTAGTGAAACCAATATTTTCCAACTAGCTCAGACTTGAAAGTTTGTATACCCTCCCCCATGGTCTAGTTTCCTGTTTTTTGTCCTACATAATCCTGCCTTCACAATGCCAGATCAACCAGCCTGGTGGATACCCTCATCCACTCATACCAAATAGCCTCTATTGCCTCCCGTTCAAAAACCATTCTACATTCCACCAACAAATTAATCCCCCTAATCCACTTTTTCTGTGCCCCTCCTTTTCTCAGAAGCTTTCAATTCCCTTCTGGTCCCTACAGTACTAAAGGCATACTCGATAACCAGGCATTCAAGGTCCCCAACGACAGAATCACACTATCTTCTCTAGCTTAACTCCCACTACTCCCAAGCATAAACCATTTTTACTGCAAATATCAGCATACCCATTTAATTGTATTTACCAGCCCATCCATTTGTTAATCTCTGCCTCTATGCGCCTACTGACACCATTTGCCTTACCTGGAAAAACTTACTCCTTCATCTGCCTACCAAAATCTGCCATGACTACTTCAAATCCATTCATCTATTTTTTGAATAGCCTAAAGCACTCATATGTTCCATTCATTTAGCACTTAAATGTGTGCTACTTTGTATCCCTCCAACCAAACTGTACATTCCTTGAGGGCAAGGCACTTCTCAGCCTGTCTCACAATGCCTAGCAGAAAGCTATTAAGGTCAACTGACACTCAGTCCATGTAAGTTGAAAAAATAAAGCATTACAGAAAGCAATGACTTTTTTTTTTTTAAAGATTTTATTTATTTATTTGAGAGAGAGAATGAGAGAGAGAGCGCGCATGAAAGGGGGGAGGGTCAGAGGGAGAAGCAGACTCCCCGCTGAGCGCAGGGAGTCTGATGTGGGACTCGATCCCGGGACTCCAGGATCATGACCTGAGCCGAAGGCAGTCGCTTAACCAACTGAGCCACCCAGGCGCCCAGCAATGACTTTTCAATTAAAGATTTTATCTGTTTTAGGTTTCACTTGGTAATTCTTCAACATTCGAAAACATTATCATCAGCTTAGAACAAATCATTTGGAAGAGAAGGGAAGTGCCCTAGAGTCCTTTCCTGATTCTCTTTTTAGTTATTTGCTATATACCACTTTATATCACATCAGAAAAATAAATGTTAAAGCAGAGGAGGGGAACTTCCCAAATCCTACATTATAGAATTATAAAATACCAATATGGATATGGAACTAAATAAGTAAAGCAGTTCATCCTT